ACAGCTGCAAATGGACAAGTTATTTTGGTGCGGTATTCACAATTCATTGTTTGCGAGAGACTGTTGGACTACCGACTCAACATAGGAAATATTGTTTTTGGGAATGGTTTCAACGGCAAGTTTTCTAAAAATTTGGAATTGAGCAGCTTTTATTAATGATACCACAAAAGGAAGAAATAAAATAAGGGTTGGATGAGGGTGAGATAAAGATAAAAATTTGCATAAGTGAAAGGATGTCACAGCTCGCACGAAGTTATTCGCTTTTCGTGGATAGCGTTCATTTACAAATCGAGCATCAAATTCAGTCTAAAGAAGCGAGACGTACCGAAAGGAAAAAAATGTGGATGAACTGTTTAAGTTAACAATCGGCTTAAATAAATAAAAAAGTGGGGAAAGAGGTCAAAAGCACTCCCATTCCTTGGACACCAATCTAAGCTTCATTCCTAACTCCTTTCGCAAAGAGTGCTGATGATTGTTTCTAAGAAATTACGGCACTTGGTATGACAGCCAGGCCTCAGAAAAGTGACTGTTTCATTTTAGTGGCGAACGACTTGGCGGATAGCCAAATGTGTCCATTCCAAACCAGTTCGGAAAAGAAATGTGAAGAAGGAGGCGGATGGTGGCGAAAACACTGCCAACAAAAAGGTGTACTCACGGCAATGAACAAAGCGCAAGGAGCATATCCTGGACTTGTCTGGAACGGACAGCGTCTTTCGGCTGTGCAAATGCTTATTCGACCCCGCGGTTATATACCTCCTCAAAAAAAGCCAACAAAATTTTGAAATCGAATCTCCCATAGTTTAATGCCTGAGTTGTTCTGCTTCAGTTGTGTCTTTCAGTAGCTTTCATAGTGCCTTTTTTGTTCGTTTTTCTATAATCCCTGAAGCCAGCATTTGTAATTGTTGTGTGACTTGATTTTAAGAACGCGTTAAATACAGCGATTTTGTATACAAACTGAATTAAACTCGCATGTGAGCGAGGGACATTCTACTAAAATTTCAGCTTCCTAGCTTTTCTGGTTCCCGAGTTGAAACTACCAGATAAAATGCACCCGGAACACACACACACACACATACACATAAACGGATTCACAGAGTTTCGAAAATATGCGTCTTGTACAATTCTTACCGCACAAAACGTGTAAAAACTGAGACTATACTGGTGGAAACTGTCATATAAAAACCATCTTCAGTAGAGGACTTCCCCATTTATGAAGCTGATGCTTAGGTATAGCTCAGAGCTCTCAGCTTTACCTAAGCACCAGCTTCATGAATAGACGAGTACGCCACTGCAGACGAGCTTTCATAGGCAATTACAAAAACTCGGCTCGAATCGGCCAATACTCTGAAAGCGCTCTAGCGTCTCTGCAAAAGCTATTTCGCAGCGTCGGTCGCCAGCACCGCTTGGCGGATAGCGCTACCCACCGTTCGCGGCTATATCGCGTGGTTGTGGAGTGGTAGGTGGGGGGATTGGACGTGGCTGAGGGTGCTGGTTGGTAGGTGTCCTGATCCAGCTCAGGGGGCACAGGTTGGGGACAAGATAGAGGAGGGGAAAGAAGGTGCTAGTCAGGAGTTAGGAACGATAAATGGTGACAATGTTTAAGGGTGACAGGTACCCCGATACGACTCTGAAGGCAGGAATTGGGAACAACATGCAGGAGGAGGACAAGGATACTAGTCAAGAATTCAAGGCAAGAACTGCAGACAGCAGTAAAGAGAACCCAGGCTGGAACGCACCAGGCGGGCCGGTGCGATTATGCGTTTTTGCACATTTCGTGCCGTAGCAAGATCGCAAGGAATCAAAGTAGTTAACCTTGTGAAATACTGGCCCTCGAAGTTCGGGAAGTTAATTGTGCAGCTATGTGGTATGTCAGTTGTAGGGGACTCCATTGACCTGACAAATAGAAAGTTATTGGTCCGCGAAAAAAGGCCACACAAGAAGAGTTAAGTTTAAAATCTTTTAGTTGCACATGAGCAGGAAACATTCC